CAACTAGACTGAAGAACAAAACAACTGCAACTTGTCTGTTCCCCTTCCCCTAATTCCCCAGTGCTGTTCCCATCCCTCGAATTCCCCAATAAAAAATCTTTAAAAAACAAACAAACAAAAAACTGATAAACATCTAGTCAAGATACCAAAGAAAAGAGAGGAGACAGAAATTGCTAATATCAGAATTAAAAGGAGGGGAAAAGGAACATGAAAAAGGATTTAATACCATCTGACATCCACTTATAATAAAAAACCAGTAATAGAGGGGATCTATTTATTCTTGAGAAAGAACATCCACATGACACCTGCAGCTAACATTATACTTCATGTTGAGAAACTAGATGCTTTTCTGGTAAGATCAGGGAAAGGAGGTTTCCTTTCACCAATAACATTCAACATTGTAGTGGAAGCCCTAGCCATGTAATAAGGATAAAAAATAAATGGTACACAGACTGGGAAGCAAGACATAAAAGTTTGAAGTTTGTTCCATGTCTATTTACACAGACATGACTGTCTATGTAAATATTCTGAAAGAACCCACAACAGAGATAATGCCTGGAATTAATAAGAGTATAGCCAGGTTGAGGGATACACAAGTCAACTGCTTTCCTATAGACCCCCATAAAAATAGTCAACTGATATAGTGAACTGATGATCAATGGAAAAATAAAAGTCATTTAAACAAATAGTGCTGTATAAAATGGATATTGACAAACACACACACACACACACACACACACACACACACACACACACACAGACCTTAGCCTTTTCACAAAAAAATAACTTAAAATAGTTCATAAATCTAAATGTAATATGAAAAGTTTAAAAAAACTCCTAAAAGATAACACAGGAGAACATCTGTGTGACCCTGTCTTCAAGGATGATTTTATTTTTTTTTAGAGACAACACCAAAAAATAATCCATTACAGAAAGAAAATGTTTTACTTCATTAAAATGAAAAAAACACCTCCTCTGGGAAAGTGTTAAGAGAATGAAAAGACAAGTCACAGGCTAGGAGAAAATTTTCTGTAAAACACTTATCTGATAAATGACTGGTATCCGTGTGTGTGTGTGTGTGTGTGTGTGTGTGTGTAACAACTCTTAAAGCCCAAGAGTAGGAAGACAAATAACCTAAATAAAAATAAGCAAAATATACAAGAGNGTGTGTGTGTGTGTGTGTGTAACAACTCTTAAAGCCCAAGAGTAGGAAGACAAATAACCTAAATAAAAATAAGCAAAATATACAAGAGACAACTTACCAAAGAAAAATACAGATGATAAATAAACAACATGAAAACACGCTCAACATATCATGGGGTCTTACAAATAAAACAAAGAGATATCACACGTATTTAACAAATGTTGAAAATTCAAAACACCCAGAACACCAAATATGGTGCAGATGTGAAGCTACAGGTAATCCTCATCCATTGCTGGTTGGAATGGAATTGGGTATGACTACAACGGAGATAGAAATTTTCTGTCAAAATTAAATATACTCTTACTACATATAGTTAAGATCCAGCAATCACACGCCATGGTATTGACCTAAATAAATTGAAGCCTTATGTTTACAGAAAAACATAGATATGCATAAGTTTATAGGTGCTTTATTCCTAATTGGCAAGAGTTAGAGTTAAGGAAGATGTCCTTCAAGAGCCAAGTGGATAAACAATCAGTGGTAAATCCATATGATGAAATACTATTCAGTAATAGCAAGAAATGAGGTATCAAGCCATGAAAACACATGGAGGAACGTTAAAAATACTTGCTAAGTGAAAGCCAATCTAAATCTAACAAAGCTACGTACTATATATTCTAAGTATAGGACATTCTGGAAAAGACAAAACTATGAAACAATAAGAAGATCTCTGTGAAGGATTGGGGGTTGGATGGAAGAATAAAACAATAGGTGGGCATAAGGGATTTTTAGGGAAGTGAAACTATACGGCACAGAAATGAAGGATACATGTCATTAAACATCTGCCCAAACCTATGGATCCTGTAACACAAAAGTCAATACCAACATAAACTGTTCACTC